CAGTTCCCTAATTGCTAGTTTTGTCTTCCTAATTACCAATTTAAAAACTGTTTTCTTACCGTCCATGCAGTTGCTCAATTCTTAATTCTACCTTCAAAACATCTCCCAAGTAAGTCCATGCCTGGGTGTTCCCTCCAGTAATGTCCTTAGGCTCTTTTCTCTGATTTTAAACTACCAACAAATCCTTTTTCCTCAAGCTTTTCCTTTCCAAACTGTTCTCCGTATTTTCACCTGTTTTCTTTTTGAAGCAGGAATCTCTTTCCCTTGCTCATAAACCTTTGATGGCTCTGCCGCGCTTGCAGAATAAAGTTCCAACTCTTACGACATTCAAGACCCTCAGGTTATTACCACAGTACACCTTTCAATATATTATGTTCTTTCTTTGCACTTGTCTTGAGCTACTGGATACTCTGCATCTATTTCACACCACTGTCTACACAGACTTTTACCTCTGACAATTATTTTCCTTTTCTTTCCATGTCAAATACTGTGTCAAATATCTTAAGGCCCAACTCAATGCTACTTCTACGGTGTCAGATTCCCAACTGGACAATCCCTACTCACCAGAATTCACCACTACCTTCTGGAACAATGACTTTACTTTTGTTTTCATCTCTTCAGGCATTTGTTGTAGAGAAGGGGAATGAATGCAGCTTGTATTTTAGTTACATTTGTCATTTCTTCCCCAGCCACCTGCAAACTTTCAGCTCTGCCATTTATCCTTGTATTTCCTGAACATACCTCACACAGAAGCCCCCACACATTAAACTGTAGACATGCTGCTCAGAAATGTCACAAAGGAGCTGAGAAATGTCAAACAAGGGTGGGGAGGGGTGGCTGAGACAGTTTTATTTTCCAAAGACAGTGACTCTATATTAGTTTAAGAAATTTTTATAATCTTAAAAGGAAAGGGGTTATCAAACCTGTGCAAGAATGAACCATTTTCTGGAATCAGACTGGGAGAGAGGTCAGATCTAAGGCAACCCATTAGTTTTAGTATTTACAACACATTACTAGAAAAAAATAAAATTGGTGACTGAATATTGAGGGAATTTTAAACTATGGTCTGAACTTCTAAAGTGAGTTTTCCCAACTATTTGTGAAGAAGGTATTTGCATCTATGTGACCAGGAATGGAGCCTCATACAAAATGCAAAACATCAAATACAAGTTCCTTTCCATCTTTAAACCCTTTCCCTTTGGGTGCCTGGGTGGCACAGTTGGTTAAGCGACTGCCTTCGGCTCAGGTCATGATCCTGGAGTCCCGGGATCGAGTCCCGCATTGGGCTCCCTGCTCGGCGGGGAGTCTGCTTCTCCCTTGGACCCCTCCCCCTTCTCATTCTCTTTATCTCATTCTCTCTCTCAAATAAATAAAATCTTTAAAAAAAATAAACCCTTGGGCGCCTGGGTGGCTCAGTTGGTTAAACGACTGCCTTCAGCTCAGGTCATGATCCCGGAGTCCTGGGATCGAGTCCCGCATCGGGCTTCCTGCTCGGCGGGGAGCCTGCTTCTCCCTCTGACCCTCTCCCCTCTCATGTACTCTCTCTCTCTCATTCTCGCTCTCTCAAATAAATAAATCTTTAAAAAAAAAATAAAATAAACCCGTTCCCTTCTTTTCTAGAACGATGTCCCCACTCAAAATTTGTCTTCACTACCTCTTAAAGGCCTCAATCTCAAAAGCAGTCCCCCTTTTTTGTAATCTCAAGCCATTTAGTATCCCCCCCCAACATTTCTGGAAGAACCAGGAATAAGGCAAAGGTGGGTGGCCTTGAGTGAGGACAACCCAAACCCTCTCCCAAACATCTCAGTGCTTTTGAAACATCCTGGGGGTTGAGGGACAGGGCATCCGGAGTCTAACCTACCACAGCCACAGCTCCTCACAACCTTATTTCACGGTCTTGGGTGGGTTGCTGGTCCATTCTGGGGCCTGATGCTGAGGGGCAGGAGCACTGGGGTAGAGCCTAGCTTTTGTTCCTTCTCGACACCAGAAGTTGAGTTAGGGCTTTTAAAGAGGGCAGGTAAAGACAAAAGTGACGTGGGTTTTTTAGATTGTTTGAAATCACGCGTAAGAGAAATACAAATAAATGGGTTTTCCCCAAGTGTGGCACAACTGGATCCCATTTAAGTCCTACATTTGTGTTGCACTAGCTTTATACTAAAACATTGTGAAGGAAAGGGGTGATTATATAGTCCAGTTGACCCCTGAATAACATGGGTTTAGGGGTGCCAACTCCTGTGCAGTCAAAAAAATCCACATAGAACTTGATTCCCCCAAACTTAAGTCTGTTGACCAGAAGCCCAGTAAGTCAATTAATACATATTTTCTACATATTGTATTCTGTATTCTTAAAATTAGCTAGAATTAAAAAAACGAGAAAATATTTACAGTACTGTACTATATACATAAAAATCCGTGTCTAAGTGGACCAACAAGTTCAAACCCATGTTATTCAAAGGTCAACTACTCCTAAAGACCTGAATACTGAGGCACCAGGGTGACTCAGTCCGCTAGGCATCTGCCTTTGGCTCAGGTCATGCTGCCAGGTTCCTGGGATCAGCTCCTTGTTGAGCGGGGAGCTTCGCCCTCGCCCTCCCTCTCTGCTTGTGTTCCCTCTCTCAAAATCTTAAAATAAAAAAACACCCTAGGGGCGCCTGGGTGGCTCAGTCAGTTAGGCAGCTCAGGTCATGATCCTGGGGTCCTGGGATCAAGCCCCACATCCAGCTCCCTGCTCAGCAGATAGCCTGCTTCTCCCTCTGCCTGCCACTCCACCTACTTGTGCTCTTGTCAAATAAAATCTTAAAAAAAAAAAACAAAACCGAAAACTTGAACGCTGGTCTTGATAAAATGTAGTCTACTTGCCTAGTAACATTCTAGTCTTTTAACTTATAGACCACATAAACCATCTTAAAATTGGTATTTTAACTTACAAACCACCTTTGAAAAGCATTGTTCCTGTCAATTTTTTAATACTGTGATTTGATGTTTTATTACCTTCTTTTTCCTTTATCTGCCTACAAAGACACTAAAATACTTAGCAGGGAGATTAATGCAAATAAAAGTTCTATGGTGTTACTTTATCAGCAGTACATGTCACTTTATCAGCATTAGTTGAGGTATCAAATTGTAAAAGCAACTGCAGTATAAAATATCCTACATACTGATATATGCAATGGCACTTCACTATAGAATGTAATTTCCACTCACATATAAACCTCTCACCCTTTTGCAATTATGAGCCCCCTTTACCATACTAGTTAAAATATATACCTGAAGCTGGTAACTGCTAAGTGTTTGCTTTATAAACCCACAAAACCAGTTACAGAACATTGGAGGAAAAATATTTGAAGACCTCAGTAGGAGAAAAATAATTGTTAAATTGGCCTGCACTACGGTGTCTATGTTGAAACCTAACCTACAATTAATATTACAAAGTGGAGACCTTGGGAAAGGATTAGAAGGGCAGAACCCTCATGAATGGGATTAATATCATTACAAAAGGAGCCTGAGAAAGCTCCCTCAACCTTCCTGCCATGTGACTTAGTGAAGACTTCCCATGTATGAACCGAACCACAAGTGGGCTCTCAGACACTAGATCTGCTGGTGCCTTGATCTTGGACTTCCTGACTGTGAGAAATTTATAAGCTACCCAGTCTTTGGTATATTGTTACAGCAGTCTAAAGGGACTAAGGCTGCTAAATAGTTATCTTACTATAAATACCAAAACTATTGAACTTCTAAGTCTGCTAATACCTTTGAACGGTATGGTCTGTGGTGTAACTCAGCCAATTTTGTTTACTCTTCATAAAACCTTTACTCTATTTCCAGAATTTTGCAAGGTTGAAAGCTTACTGTATTTTGTTGAAAGTTTCTCTAAATGCATTTTTTAAAGCAAGCTATATGTAACTTATACGTAATGTAAATAGGCATACATTAACAAGAATAAAGCATTTTATAGCCAGGGCCAAAGAATGGTTGGCTGGTAAGTGCCATGTAAACAAGACTGCAGGCACTTCTGTTAATGAGTTCAGATTTTGCGGCGATATGTTTTCATACCCTCCTGGCACAGCTCATCAATAACAATTCTAAGGTTGTGCCCACACCAACCACCTTTGCACAGCCAGAAAGTCTCCCCTACTGTGTGAACCAAATGTGCAAGACATTAAGACTCTTCCATTTACCTTTTCTTGGAAGGATGGCAGCACCTTCCTCATCTATTCCACCTTAAGAGAATCATATATACCCTCAACACCCTTTTCGTATGTCTAAGTACTGCCTGACTGCTCAAGAAAACTTTCCTTTTGTTTCAAGATAAAACTTTAGCTTTGGGGCGCCCGGGTGGCTCAGTCGTTAAGCGTCTGCCTTCGGCTCAGGTCATGATCCCAGGGTCCTGGGATCGAGCCCCGCATCAGGCTCCCTGCTCCGTGGGAAGCCTGAGTCTCCCTCTCCCACTCCCCCTGCTTGTGTTCCCTCTCTCGCTGTCTCTCTCTCTCAAATAAATAAAAATCTTAAAAAAAAATTAAAACAAAAACAAAAAAACTTCAGCTTTGTAGAACTAAAAACCATACAGGGAAAACTAGTGCTTTAGAATCTTAGAACAAAGTTTGAATTTTAAACTACAAATACAGAAGCTACCATACTTATCTTTTAGCAAAAACGTCAGGAGATTCCAAATCTCCACCTACTATTTTAATATAAATTATGCTTGCTTTGGTTCAAGAACCACCATTCAAAAATCAATATAAACTTAGTACACCAAACCAAGTGTCATTTTCTTTCACTGAAATTATAGGATTAAGTCGAATAGTACTTATGAAACAGTTCATATATAAAAATATATTCTAAATTATAAACTGATCAGTTGTACTTCTGACAACTATTTCCATTGTAAAATGGGAATTCCTCCCCTTGGAGGTAGCAGCGTTAAATTACTGGACTCTAAATTTCAGAGAAAGGACAATTAATATAATACTAAGACAATTAGTCCATAAAATGGAGAAGTTAAAATCCATCTCCTAGTCACACAAACATGAAAGTCACACACAGAGTCAAGACTAGTATAAAAGGGGGGGCCAAATTATATTATTATTTTAAAATTTGATTACAACCAATTTTGTTGGCATTAAAATTAGAGGTATTATAAATTTGAATGGATAAACCAAAAACCAGAAATTAAGTTTGGTAAAAATGGGAATAGGAGTTTTCCAGTAATTACAGATTAGAAGGCAGAAATCAATTTAGAGAAACACAGACAAACCCCATGTTTACAATGATTGTGCCACAGATTTAAACTTCAGTAGTGCATTAGTAAAACTGTTCACATTTAGATCTTCACCTTGAGATTAGATAGCTGTTTAAAAAAATCCCAGTACCTTGTGCAAATAAATCGGTCTTCCATGTGCCTCAGCACACTTAAAATTTCTCCATTGTATATATACAAAACACCTACCATTTGGTAGGGCAAAATACATAACTTTCATAACAAAACTATAATGTACCTCTCAAGTATGAACAATATACACATAATACATGGTATACAGTATTTACAAAATATAAAATATAATACAAGTTATAATTTTTTAAACTCACTTTTGCACTTGTATGTTACAAGGCAAATTTCCATTTCTGTACCAATTTTTTTTTTTCAAGATTCCAGGGATTTTGAAAAAACTTACAGACATACTGCAATCTGAGATCTAAGTTTGAACTTTTAGGAGCGTTTTTAAGTGTACTGCCATCAGCTCCCTATTTTGGTTGGAATTTTCAATAGTGCTTCCCATCCAGTGACTAGGAGGCTTTGGAAGAACACTAGGAGAAGGTGGATCACTAAACTTTGCCCCAGCGTAATTTTCCTTTTGGTTCACTTCAGTTAGAAATGCTGATTTCTTCAAATGCATATTTTTAATGTTCTCAGTATTTTTAAAAGGCTTTTTTTCCTGCTTCTGGATTAAATCAGATGAAACAGAATCCTGCCAAAAGTTATTTTCATTTCTTTTTGCAGAGGTGATCTTGGTTAGTGGTAAGTTATATTTGCTTTTCTGTCTGTTTATCTTTGGTTGTTCACACAAGTGTATACCATGAACAAGCTGGCCGTGGGGAATGGCAATTTTCTCCGATTTTCCCATCTTTGATTTTAAAACCTACAAAGACAAGGAACATAAAAGTGAATACAGTCTCATGATAAAAATTAGTCACAAACCTCACACCATCTATTTGTTTTCTTCTCCTGGACTTTAGTTTACAGTCTTGATTAAACGTATGTGCTCACTGCACTTATCAAATAAGCACACATCTAAGTTTACTACTAAAAATATAATCATTACCATCACCAGTATGCAATGTAGGGAGTCAAAGGGAAAAACCCCAAGTTCATCTTCCTCTAAGGAAGAGTAATGAGCTACCTTCCAAACATACACAAACTGAGGGTGTGTCAGTGGTTTTACATTAGGATGTGTCTAAGTTTCACATGCTTTCATTTTGACTGGCTGAGTCTGATTAAAAATAAGAAACGATGTTCATAGATTACTATGTATCTTTTAGTCAAATCCTTTTAAAATTATTCCAAATATTGAACTGATAACAGATAATACACGATAGAAATTTGATTAGCAGGAACTAGATTTTAAGTGAGGAAGTGTTTTAATGCATGGTTACTAAGTACACAGAAAAATTATCTCCCAGTTTCTGAAAACAAAATTTCACAAACTTAAATACTAATCACTTTTTATCATCTTTCGCAATTATATATACTTATAGCAAATATATAATCAGGAAAATGTTTCCACCTGCACCTACTTTCCTGGTTTAACTGCTTCAAGAACTTTGCTACACCAATTCTAATCACCTTCCTAACTTAAGTGATCTTTACAGGAAGCCGTGGCCGGATGGAAAACTAAAGTCTACTGCCCTTCCAACACTTGTAATATGGTAGGGAAGCGGGACAAAAAAATACAAAAGCTGGGGCACAAGTTAACAGTCCATGTAACTGCCAGAGTTCCCTGTTTTAATAGTTCTAGAAAAGAATTACTACTTGTTAACCAGGAAACAGGAAGTACAAAGCAGGGTATTAGCTTATCGCTCATTATTTCAGGGCCGTGGAATTTTAAAATTTCAATCTAATGCAAGTCATCACGGAGGTCAGATTTTTTTTTTCAAGGGCACAGTGAGAGAGAACCTGCAAATGTCTCCAGAAATTCTCCCAACAAAACATGGCTGTTAAAAATATGTAGTGTTTTATTTTTTTAAGACTTATTTCCTTTTGCGAGAGCGCGAGCGCGCGCGCACGGGGGAGGGGGGCAGAGGGAGCAGCAGGGAGCACTATGAGGGGACTGGATCCCACGACTCCGGGATCATGACTTGAGCCAAAGGCAAACGCTCAACCAACCCAGCCACCCAGGAGCCCACTTATTTATTTATTTATTTATTTAAGATTTTATTTGTCAGAGAAAGAGCACAAGTAGGGGGAGCTGCAGGCAGAGAAAGCAGCGGACTCCCCGCGGAGCAGGAAGGCCAACGCAGGGACTGGATCCCAGGACTCCAGGATTATGACTTGAGCCAAAGAGACAACCGACCTGAGCCACCCAGGCGCCCCACTTATTTTCATTTCTTACTGAGACAGTAGACGGGAAGTCTCTGAAATTGAAAGGTTTTATTTTGCTATAAAGGTTAACTTCAAATCATTCTAGCGATTTAATCTCGTTCAAGTTTCCCAACAGCATGGCGATTGGGTGGCTTAACGTCAATTCAACTTACAACTTTTCTTTCTGAAGTTTCATCATTCTGGACACAATAAAACTACCTCCCACTAATAGAGCCCACATCAGTGTAAATAAACAATTCTCTATATCTAATAGACGCAAAAACTACTCATCTAAAAGACTGCCGCCGCTCCTGCCAACTTTTAAAGTTAAAAGTAGAGCTAAGCAGGTTGGCCGGCGAGGGTCAGAGCCCCAATTGGGCCAGCGCCGCACACAGAGCACCTCTCATCTCAGCAAAAGCAAGCCGAAGGGAATGGAGCCGCTTGTAGCCCGCTCCAAATCCCGCAACAGGGAGGCGAGACAGTGCACGCGCGCCGCGGACCTATCTTGGAGCTTCCAACGGTCAGGTAGTTGAAAGCGGTCGCCCACCCCTTCTTCCCCTACCACGGCCACACTGCCTCACCTCCTTCATGAGCGCCGGAGCGCTGCGCACGTAGCGCGCGCTGACGTCAGCCTCCCTCGGGCCCCTTCCATCCCCCACTCCACCGCGCGCCCGAACACCGAAACCCCCTGGAACGGCGCCAGCCTTCTAAATCGGGGCTGTTGCTGGGGCGCAGCCGCTCCTCTTATTGGCTAGCTCCCGGTAGCCAATCAGCAGCGCCAGCGCATGCCTCCCCCTCCCCCTCCCTCCCCCGGCTAGAACAGAGCGGGCGTCACGGAAACTTCCCTCCCGAGTAAACAGCCGCCCCTCACCCCGGCCCCCCCTTCCCGATCCCTCAGTGCAGGGCCTCAAATTCCAAAGCCCGGCAGTGGCCGTCCAAGGGCCAGAACTCAACAGTCCCCATGTCCCCCTCGCGGCCCTTACCTCTCTTCTGAACGAGGGTTGGCCCGGCGCCGCTGGCGGCAGCTGGCCAGAGAAAGGGCTCGCTTCCTCAGTTTGGGTTGCGGCCGCAGGACCCGGGGCCAAAGTGGCCGCCTGGTCCGGGACTTCCTGCGCTCCGCTCGGGCCCGTCGCGGGGCTCCGCCTGCCCTCGAGGCTCGGCCGGTGCTGCTGGTACTGATGGAAGCGGCTGGGGAGCTGCCCTGCCGGGCTGGCCCGCACCCTCTTCTTTCGCCGCTTCTTTGGCGCTGCCCGAGGGGTGCCTCCCGCCGTAGCTAGACTACAGTTGGACAGAGGTGCAGGGGCGCGAGGCTGCGGGGTCAGACAGGGACCGTCTCCCCCTAGGAAGTGAGGGAGGAAAAGGGTGGGGGGCAGTGCCCGGGGATCCGGGATTCGGGGTAAAGGCGGCGGGGCCGTGGTCACCATCGGGAGGGCCCCGAAGTAACCGCGGGCGGAAAAGCCCAGGGGCGCAAGGCGGCCGCCCAGGACAAGTGGCTCCCGCTGCGGGACGGAGACGACGGTCATAGCTCTAGGAGGAAAGTGGCTCAGCAAGAAGAAAAGGAGGAAGTGAAGCCAGCGATCACAGGGCGGCGGCGGCTGCAGCTGCTAAGAGAACCCGAGTGGAGCGCGGACCATGGTTCGGGCGGTGGCGGCGCAGCAACAAATAGCTTCAGCCTCAGCGCCGAGTGTTGTTATCAGAAGCTCCGCCCTATGCCCGCCCACCTCCCTCCAAGAGCCCAATCAGAATGCGACAGGACATACCACGCCCCTCCGGCGCTCCCTCCACCGCCTCCGAGAGACACACACAAACAACCAGCTTGCTGCAGCCCCGCACAAAGAGCGCACACTGCGCAGGCGCTGCCAACGGGCTCTTTCGGGAAGAGTCGGTCCCGCGAACAATGAAGTTCCGCTTCAGCCCCACCTCCCCCACCCTTCTTCTTACTCGCCCCCGCACCTTGCCCCGAAGGCAGTGGTCGAAGTGCTTGATCTAGCCTGAATTTGGAAAAGGGGCTGGGGGCGGGAGAAAGAATCTGGAAACGTCAAGGCCACTGAAGCCTCCTTAGCCACTGACCTTGGGGGTGTATGTTTTATTTCAAGCCCAACATTAATAACATTATTATAATTTTTAAGATTTCAAAGTACGTTATAGGGGTTTCATTCTTCGCAATTGTAAGAAAATCAGTCGACATTTAAGTTCTATTCGGCGAAGTGTGACTTTTTTTTTTTCTTCATTTACTCGGGTTACCAACGCGGTTCATTAGCCACGGTAAAGAGAGTAAGAATTGAGTGACTGACTGAAATTGGCTCCTTAGCATAGAAAGAGTTCCCCATAAGTCCGTAATTGAGCAATGGAAATGTTACTGTCTTTATACTTAAAGGACTATGAGACTTGGCGATCACCAAACAGTGCCTGACACTGAAGAAGCAGCAAAGGAGGAGGGTTGCGTCTCAAAGGGAGAAAGTGAAACATATCTGCAACATAGTGTTTTGCTCGCTGTGTGTTATGTAAATCTCACGCTCATCATCTCTCCGCACTGTGCTCACACACACAAAGTATCATGGCTATTTTATCAAGTAATTTTGTGGCAGAAACTGTTCTTTATGTAAATAATGTCATTTGAACTTCACACAACCCTAAGGAATGGGTACTATATTTTATCCCCATTTCATCGGAGAGTAAACAGGCTTAGAAAGGCAAAAAGTACTTGGCAAACATCGTAGTAAGTTGATAGAATTTGAACTCCAGTCCAGGGATGGCAAGGCCAAAGTTTTAACATCATCCATACAACCTGCCACACGAGATTGTAGGTCTTTAGACCACCACAATAATCTTACACTTCTCTGTATCCTTACAGCGTCTAGCCAATATTTTTCAGCTTTGTAGTGCTTGATAAATGTTTTATGATTAGTAACAAAGTTGGACAGAGGGAATATCTAGAATAATGCTTCCAAAACTTTACACAGGTGGTATAATCCCCTTGTAAATTGAGGAAGATCTGTATAAACTTTTCATATGACATTCCGTCATTAGTGATTGCTGGGTTTTATCATTTTTGCTAGATTTTACTCATTCTTGGGTTTCCAGCAGGTTACATAGTAAATGCTCATATTCATTGGATGAATGGGAATCCTATACTTCCAGAGCTGTGACAGATCTTAGAGGGCCCTTAATTCAAATCCTGTGGTGTGCAAATTGAAGTTGGGCTCAAGATCAGGAGAAGAGAATGGCCTGGCAAGAATCGGTGAAGAGCAGGCAAAGATTATGGAGACTCTGGAATAACATAGTTCTTTTGTTTTGGTAAGAGTTTAAAAAAATAAAAATTAAAAATTTTTAAAAATTGTTTTAGTAAGAGTTTCACACTTTCTCAAAGCACTTTTTCATCTAACTCATTTTATTCCTACCCTAATTGTTTAAAATAGATAGAGGTAAGTTCTATTTGAGCTATGATGTAAATAAAACCTCTAAGGGCAAAATAACTTACCTAAGGGTCACAGAATGAGTCAGGGACTAAATCCCTTCAACTCCTAAAGCCTAAGTCCTCTTTTCCACTATGTCCCGAGGCCTAAAGTTTGGTTTTATCTGGGGATATTAATCACTGTCCTGGAGAATAATTTACCCTCCAGGGGGCTGCTAACTGGTAGTCAGTTCAGAGGGGCCCCTGATGGAAGACACCTACGTTAGAGTTATTACGTGGTATGTAGTTTATACTTTTGAGGCCTAAATGGTAGGCCTCATGTAAAACCCTGGATTCTGTACATTAAGAAAGGTAGCCTTGCAGCTGTGGCCACCTGGGTGATGCGTGCTAAGCTGGTGCCCGCCACAAAGAGGGAGCTGGAATGGATCACCAGAAGAGAACAATCCAGGTTTTATAAACCACATTAGTGGATTTCATGTTATTCTTTGTGTATAGTTCCTATAGATCCTTTGTCTTTAGGAAAGCCTAATTTTAATACTCAAACCTGGTTTCATCTGTGCTATATGATACAAAGGAAGAGGTCCGATGCTCTTGTCTGGGCCCAAACGGCGAATCATGGCGGCAGCAAGACATTCCAAAGGTAAAGTAAGTTTTGGGAGGACTCTCAGGGGTCTTGCAAACTTTTGTTCCAGTGCATGTCTTGGTTTTATTTTGAAGTCAACAGTTTCTTTAGAGGAAATTGGTTTTTTTTGTTTTGTTTTGTTTTGGTTTGGTTTTTGTTGTTGTTTTTTTTAATAAACAATTGAAAAGTAAACCAGGCAGTAAAGAGCAGGGAAATGAGGTAAGAAACCATGTGTGATATAAGCAGCTTACGTGCATTAACACTTCAGAGCTCTCTGAATTCCTCTCCTCTCTCTCCTGTTGACCTTTGTCTCTTACATTTTACTTCTGTCCTTCTCTCTCTTTCTCTGCTTTGAATACCATCTTTCTGTCCTTCTCTTAATATTTTTTTTTCCCTTCATTGTGGCTTTATTTCCATTTCCTCTACCTATTACTGCTTAGATCTTAAATGTCTAAGCTCTAAGGGACACATATGAAAAGAACAATTTATACTTTCCTTAATGCTCAAATTATTCATCTTTCATATTTATGAAATAAAATTCCTCTAAACACTGAACACAACCAGGAAATCAAAATGTTTACACTTAACAACCCTAAATTTCCCTGACATTTAAGCATTAACCACAAGCCTTATTTTATCAACATAGTCTGAAAAATTGAATTGAAATTATTTGGTTTATATTTAGAAGCAAACAATATGGACAAAATTTCACAATAATGACAATATTGATACTTAAATTGCTACTAAAGTACTATTACCACAGGTTGAAATCTTTGTTATCCCTATATTTATATCTTTCTGGGGTGGCAGTAATTTTACCACATTTATTTATTAAACTTTCCTAAGAGGGGCAGCAGGCCTGTGCAGGTTGTTCTTTGGCCAAAGGGGGAAGGGAGGCCTGAAATACAGCTCTCCCTCTGCTTTTAAAAGCCATCCTTTCCTGGGGCTACCTGGAGGAAAAGAAGTCTTTTTCTTATTGGTACAAAGATGTCAAAGGACCAGTGGCAGCCCCAGGGTATAGTAATATTATAGAGACTTGATTCTATTTCACACTAGATATAAAACCAAAAGAAAAAGCATGTTATTTAGACCAGCTGGGGTTTCAACCAATTTAATCTTATTTGGGTCTTGGGCTTGGGTTGTGTCTCCTTTCATACACTGATAAAACTTTTTAAAATCCTTGCCATTCACAAGATGCAACCTAATGCTTCTCCTGAAATGATGTATTTTTTAGGTTTCATTTGGCCACCTTACAGAATCCAGTTTCTTATCATTACATAATGAGATAGATTGTTCATTTTTTGCAAACTGATTTTGTCTCATTAATTTGTTACAATTAATAGGATCATTGAAAGTTTTCACCTTTCATGAGACAGGGAGGGAGTCTACGCAATTAGCTGTCTTCAGGACATTTGGCAAATTATCATCATGAAAAACACTATGGAATTCACTTTCTACTTGATCATTTTGCTACCCCAGTCCTGATTAAATGTTGGATCTCCTTTCTACCCAGTTGTTATGTGTAACAAATGATGTGGAGCAGTTCTTTCTGTTCTTGGTATAGTTAATATTTTTTTCCAGGACTGCTTGGCGATTCCCAATTTCTTCATCCTTTCCTACTGTTGCAATTAGAGAAAGGCATGCCTGTGCTTTATAAACTAATATATGCTTTAGATTATTTTTTAAAAACCCATACGTATAACTCTGTATTTATTCAACTTTTAAAAAATTAACATATCTATATTATCACAGGCACTATCTTTTTTTTTAAAAAAAGATTTTATTTTTTTTAAGGAATCTCTACACCCAATCTGGGCTCAAACTCACAACCCCGAGATCAAGAGTCACACCCTCCACCAGCTGAGCCAGCCAGGCACCCCACACTATCTTTTATAGCCAAACTACCTATGACTAAATTTTAAACTTTTTTCCTTTGGAGAATCATTATGGACTTTCATAGATTAACACAGTTTCAATCATCTATAATCATTTTCCTTTTTTTTTTTTTAAATCTTGGCCAGTAAAAGTCCTTTTAAGATGGTTCTATTGTCTCTTCAGCACTTCTTGCAAACATTTTTGAAAACATTTCAAACATTTCATTTTGAAAACAAGATTATCTTCCTCTTTCTCTAACCCAAAACACAGAATGAGCTATTTTATAAAGAACCTTAGTTCCTTTAAGTGAAGAAAATATTAGTGGAAAAATCTGGGCATCAGGGATGAATATGAGATTGTTCTTGCATGAGTACAGATTGGGATTAGAATAATAGCACTGCTAGGCCATTTTTTTGGACAAAATTGGAAGACATTTCAAAGTCATGAGTCTACATTGATTTTTTATTTTTTTATTTTGATTTTTTTAAAGATTTTATTTATTTATTTGAGAGAGAGGATGAGATAGAGAGAGCATTAGAAGGGGGAGGGTCAAAGGGAGAAGCAGACTCCCCGCTGAGCAGGAAGCCTGATGCAGGACTTGATCCTGCAAATCCAGGATCATGACCTGAGCCGAAGGCAGTCGCTTAACCAACTGAGCCACCCAGGCGCCCTACATTGATTTTTTAAATTTCTAATTCTAACACTATGAAATCATTTAAAACATTTATTCCATTATAAAAAAAAAAATTGGGGGCGGTGCCTGGGTGGCTCAGTCGGTTAAGCATCTGC